TTCTTTCTTTCTTCCTTCCTTCCTTCCTTCCTTCCTTCCTTCCTTCCTTTCTTTCTTTCTTTCTTTCTTTCTTTCTTTCTTCTTTGTTTCTTTCTTTCCTTCTTTCTTTCCTTCTTTCCTTCTTTCTTTCTTTCTTTCTTTCTTTCTTTCTTTCTTTCTTTCTTTCTTTCTTTCTTTCTTTCTTTCTTTCTTTTTGAGATGTGGTTTCACCATGCAGTTCAGGCTGGCCTCTAACTCATTCTGTATCTCAGGCTGGCCTCAAACTAGCAGCAATCCTCCTGCCTCAGCCTCCCAACTGCTGGGGTTACAGGCATGTACCACTACAGGAAGCTGGATTTCTTTCCTTTGAGCCCAGTGTGGTGGCACACACTTGTAATCCCAGCACTCAGGAAGCAGGAAAGCAGGAGGGTCCCTGAGTTCAAGGCCAGCCTGAGCTACACCGCCAGACCCAGTCTCAAAACAACAACAAAAAACCCACCCAAAACCGCAACCCAAAAGCAGTGCTGGTGATGTAGCTCGGTGTAAAGGCCCTGGGGTTCGATCCCAGCACTAAATAAATAACTGGATAAAGAAGTAAATAAAATAAAGAAGAGAGGAAGCTAGTTCACTTGGGGTGTGCCCCGAGCGGGCACACTGAGATCCCAGGTTCCCCTCTCTCTCCACTCCCCACTGCCAGGGGGTGAACCACTGCCAGGGGGCGAACCGTCCCCTAGTGTCGCCGCCACCAGGCCAAAGTGACCACTGGCTGAAGGTGGGAGAGGCAAAATAAACCTTTCCTCCTCCTACAGCGATCTCAGGGGACTCGTCACTGCGATAAGAAGCCGACTGCCGTCCCGGCGGCACGGCGACGGGGAGGGCAGCCCGCGCGGGTCTCAGACTGAGGACCCGACCGCCACCTCGCCGGCCCACTTGAGTTCGTAAAGTCACACTAACCCAGTTTGGGAACGAGCTTGGGACACCTTTGGGTGCTGAGGGGAGAACAAACCCATTAGAAGATTGTGTGGATGTCCATTAGAAACGCTTTCACATCTTCGTGACTATTTTAGAATTTAACAACCAAGTCTTTGGTTTGTTTGTTTGTTTTTTCCGGTACCGGGAATCGAACTCACGACCTTGCACTTGCCAGGAAGGCACCGTGCTGCTGAGCTAAATCCCCAGCCTCTAATACCCACTTCTTTAAAGATGCAGGTAAACTTGACTGAGCTGGGTCTATGCATTTTATCGAAACACTGTTTAACATTAGAAAGTAAAGCAATGAAATAAAATGAGAAACTCAAAGTAACTGAGTGAAAAAAATCACTGTACACGAATTCTTGCTGACCACTTACAAAATGAATTAAAGCACGCGCGCGTGCATGCACACACACACACACACACATATTTTCTTTTTTTTAGACAGGGTCTCACACTGTAGTGTAAACTGGTCTTGAACTCACTTCAATCCTTCTGCCTCAGCCTCCCAGGTGCTGGGATTATACACATGTGCCGCCACACCCTGCCTGGAATGTTTTAAATGTAAATATAAATATACTTCAGCCAAGTGTGGTGGCACATGCTTATAATCCCATCACTTGGGAGGCTGAGGCAGGAGGATCTCTGCAAGTTTGAGACCAGCCTGGGTTACAAAGTGAGCTGAAGGCCAGCCTGAACTGCATAGGGAGACCCTGTCTCAAAAAGATAAAAAACAAAAACAAACAAACAAAGAAGAAATGAAAAACTATTCCTGATTTTGCCATTCAATGATAGCTACCAAAATACATCCTTGTTTTGAATTTTCTCTTCATCTTTGTGGGTGCATGTTTGTGGACCCCTTGTCTTTTGCTTTATATAGCACAAGATTTAGCTCAGCAGCACGGTGCCTTCCTGGCAAGAGCAAGGTCGTGAGTTCGATTCCCGGTACCGGAAAAAACAAACAAACAAACCAAAGACTTGGTTGTTAAATTCTAAAATAGTCACGAAGATGTGAAAGCGTTTCTAATGGACATCCACACAATCTTCTAATGGGTTTGTTCTCCCCTCAGCACCCAAAGGTGTCCCAAGCTCATTCCCAAACTGGGTTAGTGTGACTTTACGAACTCAAGTGGGCCGGCGAGGTGGAGGTCGGGTCCTCAGTCTGAGACCCGCGTTTTCCCATGTCATTAAATATTTTTTAAAGAATATAATTATTGGCAGTAGAATAGTAGCTACTCTGCTATTGTTGGGCACCCAAGTTTTTATTTTATAAATAAATATATATATTTATCTGTAAACATAGAAGAAGAATCATTTCTTTTTCTTCCTTTTTATGTTTTTTTGTTTTGTATTTTGTTTTGTTTTGTTTTTATTTTTTAGACAGGGTCTAGCGAGACAGGGTCTAGTTAGAGAAGGTCTAGCTGACCTTGAACTCCCTGTGTAGTTTAGGTTGACCTTAAACTCATTGATCCTCCTGCCTCAGCCTCCCAAGTGCTGGGATTACAGGCATGTGCCACCATGCCCGGCTCATCATTTTCAAGGTTATATATATTTTTAGCTTTCTTCACATTTATTGCCAAGTTGCCTTCCCTAGAAGTTTTGTAAGCGACCAACAACTGTGTATGGAGTTAAGGCACGAAGAACTGGTATGGATCCTAGCTCTATTTTTACACATTTCTCTCATGAATCAGTGCCTAGAAGGATGTTTCCTGGGTTCCGCTTGCACCCCACAGCCTGGAGCTCCTACTGCTTCTGTCAGAACTCTGACAGTGATTGGCTCCAGCGCCGCCCATTGTGATGCTGAGGATGTGACCTTCCCATGATTCTCAGAGCCGTCAGCATCCCTGCTTCAGTTCAGGAGTTTTCTCTTAGTTTTTGCTATCATGTTTAGAGCCAGAATTCAAAGACTGTTCAGTTTAAACTACTGGACTACTGGCCTCTAACTCAGTTCAAGGCATTTATATTTATGTTATTTTTGTCTGCTTTTTATATTAAGGAAGTGAAAAAAAGCAATCTCCGTCTCCCAAAAAGGTAAAACTACTTTTTTCGGGGGTATAGTATTGTTTTAAGACTAGAATAGATAAACTACATTTAGGAATAAGTGCATAGGAGCTTTATGAAGTGTTTCATGAAGAATACTCTTAAATTAAAAATTATATATAAAATTCATTTCTCAGTAACTAGGGTTGAACCAGGCATGGTGGTGCACACCTGTAATCCCAGCACCCGGGAGGCTGAGGCAGGAGGATCACTGTGAGTTTGAGGTCAGCCTGGGCTACAAAGTGACCTCAAGACCAGCCTGAACTGTGTGGCGAGACCTTGTCTCCAAAATATAAAAAAAAAAAAAAAAAAAAGAATTAAGTAAAGACAATAGAAAAATAGAAGATTCAGTTGTTTTCTTCTTAAAACATCTTCTCAGATTCTTCACAAAATGATATAGTAAACTTAAATATTTTAATTGAATATTTAATTTACATTTATTTCATCACAAGGGAATGAACAGAGCATATTTTCCTCCCTCTCCTAATCCTTTGAGTCAAAATGCTTCAAATTCTGACTACTCTCAATAGAAGCTTCTATTTAGTATTATTTTCTCAATGACTTTTTCTCACGTGTGACTCCAACTAGTTTGTTATTAATGAAAAATAGGAATAGATTAAAGATGCGAAATGCTTAAGAGGACAATAATTACCTTGTTTCCACTGACTCACATTCTTTTTGTTTGTTTGTTTGTTTTTGTTTTTTTCTTTTGAGACAGGGTTTTGTTATGCAGTTCATGCTGGCCTTGAGCTCACTTTGCAGCCCAGGCTGTCCTTGAACTCAGCAGTCCAACTGCCTCAGCCTCCCGAGTGCTGGGATTACATGAGTGCGCCACCACGCCAGGCCCTCTGACTCAGATTCTAACCGAGAAGAGACACTCAGTGAATATAAAAGTTGCTTTTATTTATTTATTTGTTTTGTAGCCTTTTTTGAGACAGGGTCCCCCTAATGCAGTTCAGGCTGGTCTTTAACTCACTTTTGTAGCCCAAGCTGGCCTTGAAATCACAGCGGTCCTCCTGCCTCAGCCTCCCAAGTGCTGGGATTACATGTGTCTGCCACCACACCCAGATAAAAGTTACTTTTAATTAAATCATTTTAACCCAGAGAATAGTACACTCCCTTATGAAAAATTATTTCTCCATAATCTGGGACTTTTTGTGGCCCAGTGTCACCTGGTAATTTGATTCTGATTGTCCGGAAATGGAATGTGGTGTGGCTATTCTCCCAGGCCAAGTGAATGAGATTTTAGCTAATTCTGCTCCTCCAGATCTCCTACTCTCAAGCTCTCCTTGATGTTTTCCACAACTGAGTATCCGCGTTGCTTTTGCCGAGCCCTGCGTGAACATTGCCCCCGTGATTGCCTCATACTTGCCGCATCTCATCATTCAGAAGCTATTTATCTATTTTTTCCACGGCCTCCTTCAACCCCCACCCCAGGGCTGGATGCCTGCTCAGCCCCCACACATTCAGGCGTATTTATTCCCGTAAAGATAGTGACACTTAGGGTTTATTCTAAGACTAAATCTGTGCTGCCAGTGACTAAGGACTTAAGCATGCACACTGCTTCTACGCTTGCTTACCCTCCTACCTAACTTGACTGCTCCACATTTTTCTCGCTTTCCTGCAGAAGCCCCTGTTTCGGCACAGTTCGGTTAACGCAGCACTGCCAGGCCACTAATTGATTTCTGAAACCTGACATTTGTTTTTTGTTTTCTCCCATCTTCCCCTAATGGTACAGCACTACTAAGCAGGAAGGAATGCGAAGAACTAGAAAGTTCAAAGCAATTGAGGATCTGTCCATTCACACTGCCTGGCTTCACGCCAGCGTAGAACCTGGAACATTTGAAAAAAATAGTTATCGAGTTTTAACCCTTTTTGCTAAGTCGGTGCAGCAGGTTTGCAGCTGGAACGTTTGTGTGAAGAGCAACAGCGAGGACGCTTGGTGGAACATATTCTTTATATATTCAGAACCGCATGGCGAACATCTCAGAAAAGGATTACTTTCCAATTTCCATGCAATTGTATAGGACTAAACTGGTTATTTTCTGTGAGACTGCAGAGCTGGGTGTCTCAGAGAGACTGTTGCTTAAGAGAGGCAGCCTTATTTCGTGAGTCTTTATGCTAGAAATGAAATTTAAATAAATCTGTATTGGAGTAAAAAGAGAGAATAGATTTTAGGTTTTTAAAAATTGTAAATGCATCAGCTATGTGGGTCCAGCCACAGCCAGGTTCATATCTGTATACATTTCATAAAAATGGAAATGTGAAAAAAATTAACAAGGCTATAAAAAGCCGTCATCAAAAGCTTATCAAATAGTTGTGTGGGTTTTTTTTTTTTTAAATTTAGTTTTGTTTGTAACAGTGCACAGTTTTTGTAAATGAAAGCATGTGAAAAGCTGGTGTGAAATTTAGAAGCATTTCCAGCGAAAGAAATGGATCTTACTGCAGAAAAAATTTGAGTGGAAATACAGATCAGTGAAGCGGAGGTACAAAGAAAAACAAAGGAAAGATCAAAATAGCAAACTATTGAAAAGCTAACTTAAAGGCAAATTAAAATACAGCTAAGTACCAAGATGTGCTAAATGTAAGGTTTAGATTACAGTTAAAACAGCCCAAAAAATTCTATTAAGAAGCTCCGTATTACACGATCAAGCGCTCTTGTTATCAACATGAAAAATCTTTGAAGATCAATTTTTAAAAAAAGATATATTAAATCTCATACCAATTCTAGAACCTATGTTTTAAGCTATTTTAATTACATGGTTGGGTTTAACAGTAGAGAAAATTGGGCTAGCTTTTAAAAGATGAAAATAGGCAGCATGAGAGTGTTTACTTAGGAAAAAAATTTGCAAAAATACTTATGAAATAAATAATACTTTGGTAACATGAAAGTAGTCATCAACCTTTCTCTGAAAGCAGCGATCGAAGCTATAAAAATGAATCATGTACTAACAGGAAGGGGGGCAGGAAAAGCAGGGGAAAAAAAAGTCTAGTTTACGACATAATCTTACCTTTTCTAAAATAAATACAGCTAATATTTTACGTGCATAATAACTCATCCACACATGGGAAAGGAGACCTATACCTTTGACAGACGTACTCTTGGAAGGGAACTTTTTGCTAAGAACTTTTAAATAGCTGTTTCACGGTGACGCGGGGAGAAAGCTGCTGTCCATGTATAACGTCTAATGGCATATAGTGTGCTGTCAACATATGTACATACGGAGTAATATTACAGGCATTTTTATTGCAGTTTATTGTTCCGGCTTCCCAATAAGCCAGATAAAATCATGTACAAGAACATTAAGGATTAAGGAAAGTGGTTTCCTTTGCTGATTGCTGGCAAAAATTCACCCTCCCATTACAACAACATAGTAAATGGACGATGATATATTTGCCTATTACTTTCCTACAAATCTGGATTCCTAGTTTTCAAAGGCGCTGCGTGTCTCATGTTTGCTGGCTTCCTTGGTTGTCTTTTCGTAGGAAAAGGTGTCACGGTAGTAGGTACATGTGCTACGTTTCTCTTCTGTAAATAGTATTAAAATCCATTTAGCCGAACATACAGAGCTAGCAAAAATAAGTCAAAGATGTAATGTCTATTTAAGTACACATTTGTGCTAGTTGTTACTGCTTAAATTAGATTCCACGCTTTGGCTAGAATCGGCATGGTTCAAATATTAAAATCTTCAAGCCCTCCCCCACGAGAAGTGGGCCGAGTGTGGAAACTTCTAGCTGTTAAATACTGAAGGGGTGGGTGGGCGCCGGGCTTGCTTGCAAGGATTTAGAGAAATGTTTGCCAGGGAACCTCTGCCCAGGGCACGCCGAATTTGCTTTGCTATGTGGGTACACTCACTCCTGAAGATACATAGAGACAAGCGCTGTTTTAAATTTGTTTATCATAACGCCTTTGGTTTTCTGCTACAGACAAGTACATTTTGTGTATTTAAAAATACACGCTCATTAAACCCGCCGCCGAAACCCTCAGCGCCCCCACCTAGCCAGCGCCTTCTGGGTTTCAGCGCCTAGGTTTCAGGTCCTTGCACAACACCTACGACGTGCAATACTCTTTTTCTCCCTAATCCTGGCAGGGAACAGTCCGGAGAGATCTCCCTCCGCGTCCCCACCCTCATTCCCCCTCTCGCTAGATTCCATCCGCTGCTCTCCTTCCCTCCGCCCCCGGCGCCGCCAGCCCGATCTGTCAGAGAACTTGTGTACAAACTGCGCGGCCGCCCTGCGCGCGAAGCTCGTGGCCCGAGGGGTGCGGTCGCCCGGCGGGGGCGGGACCCGGGCGGAGCTTCTCTCTTCTCACAGGCTGGCCGTTTCGGGCCTGTGGGCCTCGGCGCCTCCCGATTGGCGGCGGCGCCGTCACTCAGGCTGCGGGGCCCCGCCTCCCCGGAGTTGGGTGAAATAGAGGCGGGCGTCAAGTGTCAGTAGTCGCGGGGCAGGTACGCGCGCTCGCAGCTCGCTCGTGGAGCTCGGCGCCGGCGAGAACGGGCTCCGGCGAGGCGGAGAGCGCGCCGGGCGGGGCGGGGCAAGCGACCGCCCGGACGACAACCGGCGTCGGCGCGTGGCGGGGCGGAAGAGTTCTGCTTTCGGTCCGCGCCTTCGAAGACTGACCGCTGCCGCTCGAGGGTCTCCCCGGAGCCTCCCCGCCTCCGCGCGCGGCCCCGCGCCAAGCTCGCCGGCCC